CTATACATAGGCACTATTATAACTATAGATAGATAGCCTAACTAGATATTATTACTAGATAGCCTAATCATTCCAATTCGATTTTTGTATCTTCTGAAATTCAATTCTTTGTGCATGCATATTAAAATACATATGCTGGTCTGACGTATCGCAAGGGGAGGCCATCAAGCTTGTTGAACGAGAGACCAGGAAATGTGTAGGAATGTGCTCTGGCTGCGTCAGAGGCCAGCTTGTTTCCTTTGTCGTCATTCGCACAATAGCTAATTAATGGCGTCTACTTGCAATGACGTCAATTGCATAGCAGCGAATTAACAATCCATTTGTTGGGAATGACGTAACTCGTACTGCATACAGTTAAAAATACGTGTCGGAAGTGACGTTACTTGCAGATCTAATTAACGATGCGGGCCAACATTGACGTCACTCACACAGCAGCCCATTCACAATGCGTGCTGGTAGTGACGTCACTTGAACAGCAGCCAATCAATGATGCGGGCTGGTAGTGATGTCACTCACACAGCAGCCCATTCACAATGCGTGCTGGTAGTGACGTCACTTGAACAGCAGCCAATCAATGATGCGGGCTGGTAGTGACGTCACTTGAACAGCAGCCAATCAATGATGCGGGCTGGTAGTGATGTCACTCACAAAGCAGCCCATTCACAATGCGTGCTGGTAGTGACATCACTTGAACAGCAGCCAATCAATGATGCGTATTTATGGAAAGTCTATGGTGGTACAACGTGATTGGAGAATTAACAGCACTTGTCTAATAGTTTACATGTATAAAACATGTATTAGTTTACATGTTTATGTTGCTTGATTATGCAATATGCAATTATTTTCCTGGGTCTTGCATTGACATTTTCAATACTTTGATTACACTGCCTCTAATTCTGTTTATTTCAAAGACAAAATAAGTTATGGTATAAGTTATATCATTAATAAAAGTATGATAAAGGTTATATCAGACTTCGTATGATATATATTTTAAGGCTTAACTATATGGTTTACAATAAACAGCACGAGGATGAATTTATCGTATCGAACCTCGAAAGTTCTCAAAGCCTAATATTCCATTAGCTGGTTCAATAGCCTCCGTTAGCTGCGTATTCAGCTGTAAATCGCTATATATATATATATATATATATATATATATATATATATATATATATATATATATATATATATATATATATATATATATATATATATATATTATATATATATATATATATATATATATATATATATATATATATATATATATATATATATATATATATATATATATATATATATATATTCAAGCCATTCAGGCTTGTTCGCATATATATATATATATATATATATATATATATATATATATATATATATATATATTAGTCGCTGCTACACCCAGACCTCTTTATTCTGTCCTATAATGGTTGTGCAATAGCTTCTCTTTCCAATTTCTGTCAAAATATATATCCACATTCATCATTAAAATCATCTATCTTACACCAGACTAATTGTATTTTTTGCGATAGATAGGGGCTAAGTAGATCCAGTCCAGTGCCATGTTTAATACTTTAATATTTAACTATATCATGCTGGGTGATAACTGTACGAGGCTGCCTCCATACATTAGGAGATTCTGAACCCCTTGGAGCAACTAGGTTAATTATAATTCCTTCTCTGAATCTTGCAAATGGGGAGGATTCCAAGAACTTAAAAAGGCCCCCCCCCCATTGCATCAAGACGAATGTCACGCGTTGCTCAATGAAGTAGTAGTTAACCGGAGTTCAACTAGCTGTGTGTAATTACCCAAGTGTAGTTACAGGATGAGAGCTACGCCGGTGGTGTCCCGTCTTCCCAGTACTGTCATATAATGCTTTGAAACTACGTGCGCGCGCGCGTGTGTGTGTGTGTGTGTAAACAATTCTGTCAGCTGTTTAATCTAATACAACATGTTTAAAGTGCAGTTAATATTTCTGTGAATTTTAATGCATGCTGACGCAGCAAGAGCTGTTGACGGATCCCGGTGATCTCTATAGTTCTCGAAAATGGCAATATTTTCAGGGAATAATAATAATAATAATAATAATAATAATAATAATAATAACTAATACTTGAAATCTACATTTAATATATTTCGCATATTAAATTGCATAGACTAACTTAAATGGTAATTAAAGTGGACATTAGGATTTAGTTAGCAAGCCAAAGACATACCTCTGAGACCTACCATCTCTCTATAGCAGGACGGGCAATTGGGATACCTAATTAATGAACTAAACTGGAAAGAGATATAGTTAACATTTAAAGTTAAATAGTCGAAAAAGGCAAATATGTATAATGATCATATATAATGATTTAGTGGAAACAGTATCTTAAAGAGCCCAGTTGAACAATGGAAAAATTTTCCTTGAAATTCCGCAGAATAATAGTCTGGCGGCCTCTGGACACCCCTCGCGGTTAAGTATTGCCAAATTTCATTTACAAAACTTGTTTTACGATAAATTTGCATTCACTTTTTTAATGATAGAGAAATCAACGAATATTTATTTGCTATCAAGGATATTTGTGGGTATAAATTAGCCTCAATTGTGGAAGTGTAGCCAAGTGACGTCATCACTCTCCCAAGGAGATTAATGACGTCACTCAAGCGGGGGCGTAGTGACATCAGTCTGGGGCGGGAGGAGGCCGTTGTTAAACCACATCTTAATTAATTCACCGTTTAGTAACATAGGCTAACACATACACGGAGATGTATGTGTCTTGAGATGGGAGGTGAAGGGGAGGTTAGTCACAGAATGGGCCCAGGTAGCTGGACTCCATTGACGTTTAAGCCAATCAAGTTTAGTTTACATTTGTGGTGAACGAGTTACATACAGGTTTCATTAACCTATTATTCACTCCACATCCATCCCGTGAATTTCTAGGAAAAGTTTAAAGGAAAAAAATTCCTCACCAGGTAAGGTCACCGCCCAGCAGCATGCATCACCAGCCTAACCTTGCGCTGGTTTCCAGGATCAACGACAAAGGGTTTATCCATCGTTATAATAAATCAAACTAACTTTACTGTGTAAAGACTTGACAATGAATAGCTAATAAATTCCTCCATTACTGCAGAAATATAGCATAAAAAAGGGAAAATTGGGAAGTAGGTAAGCAATAAACTCGCTTACCTCTCCCCACCACATCCAAATCCCACCAATTTTGACTGGTAGTTTAGATCCCTTGCTGGTATACATTTGACTAAATGTAACCAATGTCATTAAACTATATTCTCACACCGCGTTTAGATCCCTATTACGTGCTCTGACCAGCCTTCCATGCCAGCAACGTGACCTAAAGGCTTCGCTTGATAATGTTGACTTTGCCATACCTTGCCAGCTTTTTCCTTTGATTTACAACAGGTGAGACGGTAGAGGCCATACTGGTGTACCGATGCATTGTTTCAGATAAGCGTGTGTTTGGTAAAGACAAGGGCAGCAGGGGTCGGGGCGAGAGTCCAGTGAGGGAAGGAGACCCAGTGGAAAATTCCCAGCAAGCTGTGGACACGTTCTTCAGCACTGTGGAAGCGATGGTCTCCATTATGAGATCATTGAGAGGATCTCAATGGTCAGTGGCCAAGATGTGAAAAGGTCTGAAGAGTATCCCATAACTAGTTCCTTCAATATATATTAGGAGTCACGAATCTTTTTGAAATCTCTTAAATCCTCCGGCAGAATTGCACAGAGGAATGTAGATATTCCTCTCCGCACTGCTTCCGTAAACCCGTTCTCTAGAATTTACCCGTAAGCGTTTATTTCGTGAATAGCAACTTCAGGCTCATATATATTTAATTTCAAGACGTTGAAGGAGAGTTCTCACTTTGGGAAATCGATTACCCTGACTAGGCTTCTTGTGTGATACTAGGCTTTTTGTGTGATATTAGGCTTTTTGTGTAATACTAGGCTTTTTTGTCACACTAGGCTTCTTGTGTCACACTAGGCTTCTTGTGTATGTAAATAAGGACTCTTTCAAGGCAATCCACTAAGTCTACGTTTCTCTAATACTGGAATATGCAGCAACGGCCTAGAATCCGCACTTTGTGAAGCACGAAACAAAATTTAAAGTGCAGATGTATGGAACAAGAACTAAAAGATGATTAAGCTACAAGGACAGGTTAAGGAAACTAAATCTCACAACCCTAGAAGGAACAGGGAATATGATTACAACATACAAGATACGGAAGTGTAGATAAGGTAGACAAGGGTATAGCCTCTATAAATTGAGAGAAAGTAGGGCAATAGGACACATGTGGAAGCTGGAAACCCTAAAAAAGTCGAAGAAATGTATCGTACCTAACGCAACGAAGAAATACTCCTAGCCTGTACGGGTGGGCAACAAGTGGAACGCACTGAAGGAAGACGTGGAAGCCACCTCCATTGACAACTTCAAGGCCAGAGTCGACAAAGATTTCGAACGTCAGAAATCGCAACGCAACAGAACAAGAAAGCCAGGAGACGGGGCATCAAGAACTAGCCCGCATTTCCCCGTGGTCACTGATAGCCGAGTACTACCACCTGCATAATTAACACCACTATTACGACATGGGGTGATTCAGGTGATGCTCAAGGTCCTTCCTGCTTCTCCATGTGACCGCCTCCCTCTCTCCCCCATCCTCATCAGACTCGCCCCGCCCTCCCCCCATCCCTCCCAATCGCCAGTCCCTGAAATCTCTCAGTGCGAAAAAAAAACATGTGTTCGCACGTGAGGTCTGGCCGAGGAGAAAGTGGGCATGAAAATCCTTCTCCCTAAGGTACAAGCCAGACCTGAATTCCAGTATCACTCTCGTGGACATATGCCTCATCCAGACACATCATCCCTCTGATGTGCTGAGATATTCCCTCTGGGGTTTGGGAGGGAGAGGTTGGAAGAAGAGAAACTCAGTACACAGCTGTGACTCATCAAGGCTACTGACTGTAGACCGCGTTACACACCCGAGACCAGACGAAGGCCTCGAGTCATGTGTGTGAAGGTACCTCATGTTTCGTTGTGCTACCCGGCGTGGTCAGTGTGTGCAGGGAGATGCTGAGAGGCGCAGCTCCTAGCTCCTCCACCTGCTAGCATTGCTGCAGCAGCTAGGACCAGGACTGCCTACTACTGGTGTTGGTAAGTGGGCAAGCGAGGTAATACTAATATGAACACATGGAACACAGCAGCAGGCCTACTGGCACTGTGAGGCACTGTGACTGGCACAGCCGTAGACCTTGCTTGCGAGGCAAGAACACTGCAGTTACCAAACAAATTTCACTCGTGCATTTGTTTAAACCACTTTGTCAATCCTTCCAAAGTATTGGGTATGATTGTGCTTCCTGACCTTTTGTAGGACTCTACGTCAATGGTAATTCTACTCTGAATCGTGTGGAACGCTTTCAAATGCATTTTATGTAGAACGAATTCTAGTCATTCCGTGTCGTGAGTCTTGAGAACCTATGGCCATCAAGGTGGATGGGTAACTTATCTAATTCACAACACAACACGAATGTTAACCCAGTATCCAATTCCGACTAAAAGAGTACAAAATTTGAGGAAGTCCGGAAACATTGCTGTAAGACTGGTTCCTGAACTATATGGGCTTGAACTACGAGGAAAGGCCGAGAGAACCCGACCTTGGCATGTTGGTGTAATGTGCTTTGAACAAATCTTGGACAAGGGAAAGCTTTAACAAACGATTGAACATGATCCCGTCCAATACCGTTGGATGCTCTGATTATCTCAGCAAACAACAGGATGAGAAAGAGCAGCATGAAGTAGCTCTGTGCTATTATAACCGACATTCGGTGCTACATAGCCTTCCCGGTTTGGTGCCTTCTTTTGATAATTACTTACTTACTTATAACCGACATTCAAGAATTCAGTAATATGATTTGAATATGGACAGATATTTGGCAATGAAAACGAGAGAAGTGAGGTGGATGGGCGTCATTGAGGGTGGACGTCAGAAAGTGAGGCGGGAGAGCCGTGTGCGTGTTTGGGCACTCCGGATGAATGAGAAAAAAACGAGTACAAAATTTTTATACAAAAAAAATTGCATTAAGGTAAATGTGTGTGCTTTTTTCCCCTTGTCCAGCATATTAATTATAAATCTACATTGTCTGTAGGTCTATGCCTAGTTAGAATGTCTATTTATTAGCGAAATCAACTAGAACAGTAAATAATCAAGCATAACTTCCATTTTCTGGTGACTTCCTGTCTGGAGTCAGGACAGGAAGTCCTAACTCCAATATAAGTCCTGACTTTAATATAATAAATACTAATTCCCTTGCTTGTAATAGTCTATTTTAGTCAAAAATGCCCTCTCTCTCATGTTTTAAATTTATGTCTACAAAAGTTATATAATGAAATATATGTATAGTGGAATGTGTTAAAAGAGATGGTGGTTGAGAAAGAGTTCGTAAGTGGATCGAGATATTTAATTTGCAACTACGTACATAAGGCGAGTATCCACACACAACGATAAATCTGCTTAATTTACAAGATTTATTAGTATCGAACCGTCTTTAGAAACCTGGAAACTACGTATGTCAGACTAAGTCTGGAATGTGCTGCGCTAGCATTGAATCTTGATCTCGTTGACACAAAAGCTAATGCAAATCCAAGAGTTTTCAACCAAACTGGTCACAGAGCTGAGAGGCACGAGTTACGAGGAAATGCTGAAGCAATTAAACCTCATGTCACTGGAAGATAGAAGTTACTACATATAAAATTCTCAGTGGAATTGACAGGGCAAAGGACAGACTATTTAGCATGGGAAAACAAGGGAACAGATGGAAAATAACCAAGTGCCCAAATGATCCACAGAGATGTTACGCAATATATATATTTTTCAGTTGTGAAAGAAGTGCAATGCGCTCAAGAGTGAAGTGGTGGAGGCAAATTCCATTTCTTTATTAACAATTGAGAGGCGGGACCCAAGGCCTAAAGCTCAGCCTCTGCAAACACAACTGCGCTAGTACACATGCACGAGTAAAACTACGCAAGTACAAACACGTTAAAATAATACCAACTAGTCAGATATAACTTAAGCAGGAAGAGGATGCTCGAAGGGGGGCTACGAGAACGCATGATGTCACAACGATGATGAGGTTGAGCTGGCTCCAAGAGGCCGGGATTCGAACCCTGGCAAGCGAGACAGGAAAGACGACCCAACCCTATATTCACCTCAAGGAAGGGGCCAGCCAGCCAGCCAGTCAGGGCGAATCACCCCACCTCCAGCTGGTCCACCGACCTGTTTACACCGGTATAAATAACATCCCATGTGGTGGCAACACTAGCACGTTGCCAAATTTACATTTTTTTTACTTATCATGATGTGCTCACCTAGTTGTCGTCACCTAGCTGTGCTGTGCTCACCTAGTTGCTTAATTGTGCGTCAAGAGGTCCGCCACGGCGTCAAAGAGGTCCGCCACGACGTCAAGGGAGGAGGACGAGGGAGAGAATCAGTAATAGCGAGAATCCGTCTTGAATACAAATATCCATGGAGATATGGAATGGAAACAACAGTTGATCAACGAAGTTGCAGAATCTGTGGTGAGTGATGGACACCGCCTTGACCACTATCCACGTGAATGTGAACACCTGAGAGACGTCAGAAGTATTCACTGTTCTGGAGACTGCTCCATTGAAGCAAACCTTGGCTTTCCTTCCTGTGAGGTAGTCTTCAACCCATTTCATGAGTCTCCCCTTGACACCCATGCATGCAAACTCGTCCAGGATCGCAATCCCCTGTGCTTTGTCGAAGGCTCCTTTGATGTCAACAAATACAGAGTACCTAGCCGTGTCATTAGCCAAGTAATTAACTATACAATTTGCTGTGCTCCGTCCTTTAACAAATCCATTGACCCCCTCCCCTAACCTGCCTATTTTGTGCAACAGTCGGTTTAGGGTGATCCTTTCAAGCATCTTGCAAGTGCATGACACGAGACTGATAGGTCTGTAATTACCAGGGTCATTAGGCTTCGGTATGGGAACAATTATTGCGTGTTTTTGAGTTAGGAAAATACTATCTGTCAAATATTGATACTGTTCTTAAAAGATTCCCCCATTTTGCACCCGCAAGATAACGTAAGCTTTTAAGGGTTTGATAGATATTAATCTTGATGTATGAGGAGCTGTTCACTTGAGACAGTTAAGCAAGTCCCAGCTGTGTCTGGGTACAAGCGACAGGATGAACAACCCAGCGGGTTTTCTTCCTATTGGGGAGTGTTGTACATGCTGCTATGGCGGTATGTCCACTCACAAGATGAGTGGCGCTGCCCAATAAACTCGCCCCTCGGGGCAAAATTTAATTTAAAATTTAGGTCCGCCACGGCGTCATACGGTTAACAGTGACTGCAGTTACCATTTCTGCAACTTTACATACGCAATTTATTTTACCACAAGAGGTTGAAATGCGTGGTATTGCGCATTGAATGTGACGCACAAGCCGGTGTGCGCGTCAGACGCTGCGCACAACACCCTGTGTGCGTGAGTCAGACGTTGCTTACGTCAAACGGGCCACCGCGGGAGGTCGGCTGCGCGCGCCACAACGCGATACGACGCGTCACTACGCAGTTTGGCTTTTGGCGAGGCTTCGTTATAGGCGACCCACTGACGAAACATCGTTCCTCCATCATGGCGGCTTTGTTTACTTTTTTATTAAACAGCTTGTGAGCTCTTATATAGCACTACGAGTTTGTTTATAATCATTTTAAGGTGCGAAGGTTTGAAGCCTGTCAACTGTTTAGTAATGTAAACACAGCCCCCGGATGATTAAAGAAAGATGTAGAGAACAAATCCACGATGAGGGTTCGAATCTATGTCCGGGATGATCTCAGACGACACAAGTTCGAACCCTCATCACGGCCCTTGTGGATTTGTTCATTTAATATATTAAACTATTGTGATTTCTGCGTGTAAAGATGTTGAGGTTTCGTAAGTGGTATTTCGTTAGGGCGATTAGGATGGTAAGTGTAGCCCAGGAGTAGGTGGAAAGAGGATTGAGGACTTTTAGGGTAGGCAAAGGAGGATTTATCCTTAAGCGACAGAGCTTTAATCTCTTCCTACACAGCCATGATTCCCCTTGCCTTGCATTTGTTGGGATTGAAATCTAGTAGCCACTGATGTAAGTAAGCTCTGCTTTCTGTCCAAATGTACTAGGAGCATACATACTGCAGTCCCTGCTCTTGTATGTGTTCGTACCGACCTGTGTGTGTGTGTTTGTTTAGGGGGTTTAGCCTCAGCTACTAGGCCCGAACCATTAGTCTCAACTCAACCAGTGCATTGGTTCACAAACCTATTGAGTTCTTGTATGGAGAGCGCGCGCTAGCGATTGTTGCATAGGCAACAATGCAACAGGTATGCAAGTAGGTGTATGTGCGAGTGTATCTGAATGAGTACGTACGTACGTGTGTGTGTGTGTGTGTGTGTGTGTGTGTGTGTGTGTGTGTGTGTGTGTGTGTGTGTGTGTGTGTGTGTGTGTGTGTGTGTGTGTGTGTGTGTGTGTGTGTGTGTGTGACCTTGCGTGCCGGTCTCACTACACACATTATCGTGGTGGCTGATATAGTGACATCAACCACAACAACAAACATTGCCTCGCGCCCCTCCCCCCCTCCCCCCCACGCCCTCAAGGTCACTCCACCTGAATGGCGGCTTCTCTCACGTTCATCACATTCATTACACCACTAATTGATGTACTGATGCACTGATCTTTTATCGATAACTATCCAAGCATTTCATATTCATAATTTTCCAACATAAACTTGTGTTAAATTTGTAAGGCATCACATACAGAATGGTTAACAATCGATAACAGAAAATGAGTAGATTGTATAAAGACATGTTAGGAACGCGTCGCATAACTGCGTTAACTGCGTAGCGACAGATGATTCAAGAATTAATCTGGATCACGTGGATTAGTCCAGATTAGTCTCTACATACAGTCTCTATAACAGGGATTTGATTTCAAAAAGGATATCAACCCATCCTCATAAGATATAGGACCCAAGCACTTTAATTGGACGGTACAGCGAAGGTCTCACATCTTGCACGTCTGCGCTCGATTCCCAATGATCCAGGTGGTTGGGCACCGTTCCTTCCCTCTGTCCCATCCTCATATCCCCTCCCAGTGC